CAAGCCCCGCCTCCCGGGTTCACGCCATTCTCCTGCCTCAGCCTCCCGAGTAGCTGGGAGTACAGGCGCCTGCCACCTCGCCCGGCTAATTTTTTTTTTTTGTATTTTAGTAGAGACGGGGTTTCACCATGTTAGCCAGGATGGTCTCGATCCCCTGAACTTGTGATCCGCCCGTCTCGGCCTCCCAAAGTGCTGGGATTACAGGCTTGAGCCACCGCGCCCGGCCAATCTTGAGTTCTTTAAGCTTAAATAAGACGGGAATTTCCCTTGTCTCTGGACACAACCTCCCCCACAATCATGGCCCCTTATTGTTATAATAGGTCTTTTAGCCTAGGTCCCTCTTCTTGAAGGCGTCTTGGTGACCTGCTTTGTATCCCAGTATGCTCCCAGGCCTGCATCAGTCCTTCCTTGTACCCCAGGACCCTCTGATTTCCCAAGACAGAGATCTACAAGATCAAAAATAGCCTACCCCAACTTTTATATTTCTATGCTGTTTAGCCTCCAAGGCTTTGCTCCGTCTGCCTGGCAGTTCGCTTTGGTTGTGACCATTTGTCCAGATTGACTGAAGGCTTCCATGCCAGCCCACCAAACTCACAGTCATTCAACACAATTGTGATTGGGATATTTCTCTGATTCCCAGCCAGTCCCAGCAGTTTTATGATTTCTAAGACAGATAGTTAGCAACCTATCCTGGGGGCTATAGTTGTGACAGTGCCCTGTCGATTTAATCAGTTTCCATCTTCCCTTATTCCACTCAACAGGGAGCACAGAGGCCTGCAGCCTCTCTATTCTCCTGAAGCCGTTGAGCCAAGCCAACCCTGACTACATCAGGTGCATGGTCCTCACCAGGAGGGGAGGGTCCATGTTTAGTCTTCCTACCCTAAGCCTGCCTTCTGGGCATGGCAGCAACCTAGCCCCTTATTTTTCCATGGTGCTAAAGGCCCAGACACTTTGCCTGATCATCTGCCTTAATTCCCTTACTACACCTCCCTCCACCAAGGACTGGGGCCCTTTGCTAAATCTCCCTACATGTGGCTAGGCAACTGCCCATCTCTCCGCAGCCCTCTCTTTAGGGGCTGGACTCCAGCTGCCTGGTCCCATGCTGACCCCTGCCTGACCTCAAGCATCTCTTCTGCCTGACACTGACCCTGCTCTGACCTGCACAGTAGCAATGTGGTGGGTGAGGCCCTTCCTGGCCTGGCTCCAACAGACCTTTCCAACCTAATCTCCTACCATGCCCCACCTTAACCTTATGTTCCCCAAATACTGAACCACTGCTTTCAGTTCTTTACACACCATGCTGTTTCCCAACTAACAACTGTGCCTTTGCTTCTGCTGTTCCTTGGGTCTGGAATGTCTTCCCTCTACCCCAGTTTCCCACTTACTTTTCTCTAATAAATCTATTATTTGAAATCCAGCATATTATTAATCTATAAAGGCCATACATTAAGGACTTCCTATATACCAGGCACTACATTATATATTTTTTATTAGCTCATTTAATCTTCACAGTAATGTTCACACATAAGTATTAAAATAATTCCTGTTTGCAAAATTGAACTTTCACAGCAGTTACGCTCCTTGTGCAGGGTTCACTGCTAGTAGGATGGGGTCCCATAGTTAGAAAATGGTGGTGCTCAAACCCATATCTGCCTGACCCCAGAGTTTATGTTCCCAACTCCTAAGTTAACTCACTCACTCAAGCATTTCCTTCTCTTTCCCAGACCGTTGCCTACACCTCAACTCAGGCTGGGCTGAGATCCTCTTTTGGGCTTTCACTGGCTTGCCTCCCTGGCTCTCAGCACTGATCACATATTTTGATCTTTGTTTTCTTATCTGCCTCCCTTACTATATTCAGAATCCCTAGAGGGCAAGAGTTATTCTATTAATAGCTATATCCAGTACAGCTTTCCAGAATAATAATAATGAGCCAATGAGTATACTCCACACCTTCCCCATATTGATAACTTAAGAGTCAAAAAGATGTAGGTTCAAATCTTGGTTCTAACGCGTATATGCTTGTGCAAGTTACTTCATTTTCTAAGCATCAGTTTCCTTATCCACAAAAGAGGGATCATAACACACTGTTCACAGTGGTTGCTGGATCCCCAACAAAAGTAAGTGGCTGCCCTCTTCCCTCCATGCCTCTTTGGAAAACAATATCTAGCTGAATACCTCCTTGAGGGATTGACGTCTCCAGTCTCTGCTCCATCATTCCCAGCCTCCTTCTCCTATTTCCACAGCTGAGACCCCACCTGCTTCCCAGTCAAACGCCCTCTGATCTCAGGTTTCTTGTCTTCCGGATCCTCTATGTGCAGGCATTCATCCCATTTCCTTGGTTTCCAGGCATAGGGGTCTTTTATTTTCCTGGGAGGCAAGAAGTCCCAATCCTCCTTCAGATTCCCAGCTGCCACCTGCTGGTTGTCATTTTTAACCTCATAAGTAGCATTGAAGCGAATAATCAGAGTATACAGGTGAGTGTCTTTATTGATCTATAAAGGGAATGGGGGAATACTTCAGTTCCATTTTGAACATCTTTAGATCCAAAGCATTCAATGCACCAGACCCTCAGTTCCCTGAATGCCACCACCCACATAGTCAGAAACAAACCTTACCATACTCTTTAACCCTTTTCTCTGGTAAACCTTATACGGATTCTGGACCTCTTCTCCTAGTACACACTCCTCTGGTCTCCCTAGCCTTCATCTTTCCCTGCACTGCGGCTCTCATCATTCTCTGATCTTACCTGTCTTTCTGCCTGTCCCACTAGACTGTGAGCAGGAGTCATACATGATTTATCTGTTGTGTCTGCAGCTTGCAGCATGAGGCCTGCCCCAGAGGAGGACCTCAGAGAGCTTCTGCGTGGTACAGCCTTTATACCATCTTGCTAAAGAAGGCTTTGGGTGTGAAACACTCATTCTCCAACGACTCCTGTGGGCTTCTGTAGGCTCGGTTCCTGCCTCTCTCTATGCTCCCACTTGCAGTGCTACTCTTTCTCAAGTCGCTTTGACTTTTCTCCTGTGATTATCTTTTCTAAGAATTCAGTTCTCCCTAAAATTGTCTTATCACTTCACAAGATCAAGTCACGTTCATCTTTCAAAGTGCAGCTCAGGGGAACTCTTCTCTAGGAAGTACTTCCTAAGCCTCCAGGGTGGGTAGGGGTCCTCTTCTGTGCTCCCACAGATGCCCATCATACTAGGTAGTCACTCTGCTTGACTCTTACCTTCATTGACTGTGAGTTCTGTGAAGTCAAAGGCCATGTCTGGCCCACTCTGTCCCCAGCCTAAGGCCCAGCACAGAGTTAGTATTTGGTGAATGCCTGTTGAGTTGTTGATGAAATCCACCTACCATCTTCTAGCCAACCTAGGTGTCTCTAACTTGATGTTACTATGATAAACTGACCCCCCATTCCCATTTCTAAGTCCAACAGTCCCTCCTTCCCCCATCCTCTCCAACGTCTAGCAGTGGGGAACTGGGCCATGCCAAGTATTGTTCCACAAGAGGACCTCATATAACTTCTTAGGCTTTTGGATCAACTGCTCCTTTATGAAATCCTGCAATTTATAGCATTTCTCCAGATCTACTTTTTAACCTGCAAAATGGAGATGACAGTTTTAATTTATAGGATTTTGTAAGAATTAAATAACACATATAAAATACATCTCCTTCCCCCTTGGCTGAGGATAAGCATACACTCACCCTGCACTTGATGGTGTTGTTCTCATGGTATTTCCCTCGGTAATGAAGGATGACCTGTACTTTGTTGTTGCCAAAGTCACAAATGTCAGGGCCTGGAAATTAAACCCCAAAGCATAATTTCACGTAACTTTAAGGCAGTTTGCCTGGTCTAAGGCCAAGACCCAAGACAAACACAGCATGTGTGTTAATCAGGGTCCTAGCAGGAAATAGATGGCACAATCAAATTTGGGATCATTTGAGAAGGATTTAATAAAAGGACGATTTACGAAGGTTGGGGCAGGACATTGTGAAAACATAAAGTACAGTGCTATGCTCAGGGCTAGCAACAATGGGGTTCGACCCCTAGGCCTAAAGGGGCTAGAAGGCGTGCTTGCCAGAGCCTGGAAGAAAGAATCCTGTGGAAAAGACAGGCAAGAGAGACACTGACTTTCAGTTGAGGAACACAACTCTCTTTTCCACCTCTGATCTCCCAGGGTTCCCATTGACCAAACCTAACCAGAAACCCCTTCTGTGCCAGGCATTTTATACCATGTCATTTAATTCTTACAACAAATAGGTGTCACTATCCCCCACTTTTAGCTGGGAAAATGGTGGCTCAGAACAGTTAAGCAGGTTGCTCAAACTCAAACAGCTAGTAAGTAGCATTGTTGGTATTCAAACCCAAGCCTACCTAGAAATACAGCCTGGGGCCCTTTATGCTTTGTAAAAACTCCAGAAGGAACTCTAGAGATCATCAGTGTCTCTAAGCCCAGAAAGCCTTATCTGCCAACTGTCAGGAACAGATTCAACATAATTTTCTCTTCTTTTCTTTTCTTTCTTTTTGAGACGGAGTCTCAGAGTCTCACTCTGTCGCCCAGGCTGGAGTGTAGTGGTGCAACCTTGGCTCACTGCAACCTCTGCCTCCCAGGTTCAAGCAATTCTGCTGCCTCAGCCTCCTGAGTAGCTGGAATTATGGGGGCCCGCCACCATGCCCAGCTAATTTTTTTTTTTCTCGAAATGGAGTCTTGCTCTATCACCCAGGCTAGAGTGAAGTGGTGCAATCTCGGCTCACTACAACCTCCACCTCCCGGGTTCAAGCAATTATCCTGCCTGGTATTACAGGCACCCACTACCACGCCCAGCTAATTTTTGTATTTTCAGTAGAGATGGGGTTTCACCATGTTGGCCAGGTTGGTCTTGAACTCCTGACCTCAGGTGATCTACCCACCTCAGCCCCCCGCAGAGTACTGGGATTACAGGCGTGAGCCACTGCAACCAGCCTTAATTTAATTTTCAGCCTTACCTCCCACGTTACCACTCTCTGACTATCCAAAGCACACACGTGCTTAAGTAAGATCTGGACTGCCCCAAGGAGGCCTAGTTACATATTTAGGTTACAGATGCAACACTCTGGACACATTTCAGATACTAAAAAAAAAGGTCACTTCCCTGACCTCCTGTGCCTTTCTCTCACTGAGGCAGAGTACAGTGCCTTACTGTAGTGTACCTTTGAGAGGGTCTACATAGCTGATGACCTCCTTCTCCTCTTCTGAGAACTGGAGAATGTCTCCCTGTGCTATAGATTTCTTAATATGGTACCATGTGCCTCCTCACCTCTGTGGTTTACTTATATTAACATTCAGGTTTAGAGTTGCTTTTTTCAGGTCTTTGAAGAGTCCTACTACGTGGAGACAGGGGTGGAGTTATCATATTAGACATTTTCTGTTCCAAGTGAATCTGAACGTTTTCAACAACTACAGTGGCTGTCATTAGGACCTAATGTAGCTGACAGTGACTGCTATCAGACAGCTTACCAAACATGATGTAATACTCAGATCCTGGTGGTGGCAGGAAAGAGTTTTAGATATCCGCCACCACAATCGATGCTTTGCTGGTGTTTTACTGAAAACCGAACCACCAAGGTCTCATTCTCATTGCTGAATGGTTTCAGCCTGGTTGAGAGGGCATAAAACTTAGCATCTTCACTGGTTTGGAGACCTAGAAGCAGAAAGCACAGAGTCTTCAGGCTTAATTACCCAAAAAGCAGCCAGAGAGATCCAGCACTTAACCTCACCAATCTCTGGTATTTTCTTCCACACCTGTGCTGAAAGCTTTGCACACATTCTTTTATTCAAGCCTCAGAGCAACCCTGCAAAACGAGTATTATCTCCACTTTACAATCAGGAGGCTGAGTCATAAGGAGGTGAGTGACCTGCCTAGGGCCACATAGCTAGTAAGGAGCCAAGCTGGAATTTTAAGCCATGTTTGTCTGATTCTTTCCCCATACCATGCTATCTCTGATTTTCAAGAGATACTTGAAGACTGTTCTACAACTTTACAAAACAAAGACCTGTTTTTCTGAGTCTCCCCTGGGTGACCAGAATGAGATTCTACCCTACAAAAGTGCTGTGGTTGAAAGAGCCCCTGCACTTTCCAGACATCTTCCTACCATAGCCTAGTAGATCAAATAGTAATCATTGCTAACATTCACTGAACACTTACTCATTGCCAATGTGTTTCATTCATATATATTACTACTGTACTTAAGCTTCATAATAACCCTATGAAGTGGGTTCTCCTAATTTCTCTGCTTTATCATGAAGCCATTGAGGCTATTTCACTGGTGCAGGATCACTCAACCAGTTCATTTAATTCTAAAGACCCCATCCTCAACCACAAGACTTTACTTCCTCCTCCAGAGAGTATCAGGGCAATAATAGATCTCAGAGCCTTTCTTGTCTAACCACATTACTTTATAAATGAGCAGACCAAGCCCCAGTGAGGAAAAGTTACTTATCCAAGACCATAGTGTCACAAATGAATCATGCCATACAAGCCAAGTCTCCTGGCTTCCAGGCTAGTGGTCTTTCTATTATTCCATGCTGCTGCCCAGCTTACTGGTTAGGGCTCTGTTAACTCTCTGAGTTTCAATTCCACACCAGCAAAATGTGGAGAATTACTCCTATGTCATAGGAGTCCTGTTGAAGGTCAAGTGAGTGAGAGATCTGAGAAGTACTTTGTAAACTGTCAACATAAAATGCAAGGGGCTATCATTATTCGTACTTGGTGAGGGTCCTTCCTTTTTCTTTTTCTTTTGAGACAGAGTCTTGCTCTGTCGCCAGCCTGGAGTGCAGTGGCATAATCTCGGCTCACTGCAACCTCCACCTCCCGGGTTCAAATGATTCTCCTGCCTCAGCCTCCCAAGTGGCTGGGATTATAGGTGCCCACCACCACGCCTGGCTAATTTTGTATTTTTAGTAGAGATAGGGTTTCACCATGTTGGCCAGGCTGGTCTCGAACTCCGACAGGCGTGAGTCACCGCACCCAGCTGGGTCCTTCCTTATGATCCCACAGCTCTCTGTACTTTCCTGGGTCACACTATGTTGAAACTAGGTTTATTTCAGTCTCTTTGAATAATTTTTAGCTTCTGAAAAACAGGGGCTTCTTTATATTCCCAGAATCTGGAACAGGACCTGGCATAGAAGAAAGGCTCAATAAGTATGTGTTAAATTATACGGAAGAATCACAGGTTCTGAATTAGACATCTCATGAGCATTTATTGTACACAAGGCTCTGTGGTAAACACTTTCACATCTGACATTATGTTAGGAGCTGTCTACATTTTAAAGAATATGCTTGACCTGGCATGGTGGTTCATGCCTCTAATCCCAGCACTTCAGTATGTCAAAGCAGGAGGATTGCTTGAGGCCAGGAGTTTAAGACCAGCATGGGCAACATAATGAGACCTTGTCTTTGCAAAAAATTTTAAAAATTAGTTGGGGATGGTGGTACATGCCTGTAGTCCCAGCTACTCCAGAGCCTGAGGTGGGAGAATCATTTGGGCCCAGAAGTTTGAGGCTGCAGTGAGCTACGATCACACCATTGCACTCCAGCTTGGGTGACAGAGCAAGACCCATCTTAATCAAAACAAAATAAAATTAAACAAAGTATGCTTGCTTCCCCAAAGACCCCAAGAACAGCTAGAGTAACCAGGGAAGACTTCATGGAGGAGGGAGTGTGCACAAGGGAAAGAGCACTGAACCTGCAGGCAAGACCAAGTTTTGAGTCTCTATTCTGCCAAACACTACTTTGTAGCTCGATTCCACCTGCCTTCTCTCTAAGCCTCTTTTGTAACCCAGGACTCTTCTAGAGAACAAGGAGGAATCTAATGAACCTGAATGGGATACAATGTGAGGGACAACAACCAAGAAATCACACTGAGAGGAGATGGGTGGCTGAGCAGACTACCCTCACTGGCACCACCAAGGCACAGCTTCCCACGGGTCATGCTGTCTCCAGTTTCTCTCTACTCTGGAAACGGTTTTCCCTTTAATACCGTTTAATACTCTGGGAACAGTTTTCCAGAGTGGATTTAAAATTTAAAATTCTCAAGCCAGTTCATAATTCTCTCCTTTAATCAGTATGAAAATGAGATTCATAACAGTAGCCAGGAGGAAGAAGATGGGAAATCACTTCAGGGAATGATCAGTGGATTCTACTTAGAGGACAAAAGCTTTCTCAGACAAAAAACTCAAGCCTGCAGAACTTGTGCTCAGAGCTCACCTTTCCTTCACAATATTATTTGGCTCTTAACAAAAGCCCTGTCTAATGAGCATGGCAGGCGATGGTTATTATCTCCATCTAGTATTGAAGCTCAGAGAAATAAGAATTGCTGAAATTATGCAGCTAGTAAGTCATGGGAGTTAGCCCTAGGGTCTGTCCGGTCCTCTCTCCATCACAGTAAGCTCCTCTAGGGAAGAACAACATTTGGATGTTATATAGTGCCTTCCCCTGTTTCAAGTGCAGCATGCTATTTTTAAAATCCTAGGGGGTTGGGGAAAGCAAGAGTCCAGCAGTAATGAATATAGTCCCTAGAGTCAGACCCAGAATCAGGTTCTACCTCTTGCCAGCTGTGTATATAACCTCGGGCAAATAACTTCTCCGAGGCTCCTCTGAAAAACTGGGAAAATAGTAGTAATCATTTATTAAAGTTGTTAAGAAGACTAACAGGGATTTGTGGAAGGGCTTAGTTTTGAACTCCTGTTATTCAATGAATGGACATATTATTTTTGTGGAGAGTTCATTCTTTTCCATCTACTAATTTTTTTAGTATATGTGCTGCCGAAGGGAGCACTCCATCTACTAACTTTTTATTTTAGGAAAGAGAAATGAATTGGGTGGGCCAGGTGCAGTGGCGCTCATGCCTGTAATCCCAGCAATGTGGAAGGCCGAGGTGGGTGGATCACCTGAGATCAGGAGTTCGAGACCAGCCTTACTAACATGGTGAAATCCTGTCTCTACTAAAAATACAAAAATTAGCTGGGTGTGATGGCACATGCCTGTAGTCCCAGCTACTTGGGAGGCTGAGGCCAGAGAATCACTTGAACCGCAGAGGCAGAGGTTGCAATGAGCCATGATCGTGCCACTACACTCCAGCCTGAGCGACAGAGTGAGACTCCATCTCCAAAAAAAAAAAAGGTCGGGTGCAGTGGCTCACGCCTGCAATCCCAACACTTTGGGAGGCCGAGGTAGGTGGATCACCTGAGGTTGGGAGTTTGAGAACAGCCTGACCAACATGGTAAAACCCTGTCTTTACTAAAAATGCAAAATTAGCTGGGCATGGTAGTGCATGCCTGTAATCCCAGCTACTTGGGAGGCTGAGGCAGGAGAATCACTTGAACCCAGGAGGCCGAGTTTGTGGTAAGTCGAGATTGCACCTTTGCACTTCAGCCTGGGCAACAAGTGCGAAACTCCGTCTGAAAAAAAAAAAAGGGCAGACGCGATGGCTCATGCCTGTAATCCCAGCACTTTGGGGGTTGAGGCGGGCAGATCACAAGGTCAAGAGATGGAGACCATCCTGGCCAACATGGTGAGACCTCGTCTCTACTAAAAATACTAACATTAGCTGGGCAGGGTGGCTCGCACTTTTAGTCCCAGCTACTCAGGAGGCTGAGGCAGGAGAATCACTTGAACCTGGGAGGTGGAGGTTGCAGTGAGCCGAGATCACAGCATTGCACTCCAGCCTGAGCAACAGAGAGAGACTCCATCTCAAAAAAAAAAAAAAAAAAAAAGGAAATGAATTTGGTGATTGGGTGATATCACAGACAAAAACAGTTGTATAAAAGTCAGAATTTCCCCAATTAGTATATTAATATACAATAATTATATGTGCTAATACTGAGTTCCAGTATTTACCTTTATCTTTTTCTTTGTCTCCATAAAATTTTCCTGCAGTGAGCTGAAATTTACCATAATCTGGCTGATGTTTAGACTGCACCCATCGTTTTTTCCATTCATCTATAAGTAAAGGAGAAAAAAAAGAACTTAAAGACAAAATGCAGCTAATACTGACCAAGACTTACAGGAATAGTAAAGGTATGTCAAGGGATGACTCTAGTATTCCTGAAATTCCTCTCATTGTCCGATTGTCTGAATCCCACTATTTGTGTATTACCATGTGCAGTGGCTTGAATACCAAGTAGTTGAGGCACTTATACTTTAATACCCTACTTCACCCTCCTCTATGACAGTTAAGAGCTGAAGATCACCATCGGAATGTATGGTTGAAAGGCATGAAACAGGCCAGGCACAGTGGCTCATACCTGTAATCCCAACACTTTAGGAGGCCAAGGCAGGCAGATGACAAGGTCAGGAGTTCAAGACCAGCCTAGCCAATATGGTGAAACCCTGTTTCTACTAAAAATACAAAAAATTAGCCAGACATGGTGGTGGACGCCTGTAGTCCCAGCTACTCAGGAGGCTGAGGCAGGAGAATCATTTAAACCCAGGAGGTGGAGGTTGCAGTGAGCTGGATTGCATAATTGCCCTCCAGCGTGGGTGACAGAGCAAGACTCCGTCTCAAAAAAAAAAAAAAAAAAAAGGAAATGAATTTGGTGATTGGTTGGGTGATCACAGACAAAAACAAAAACAAAAGAAAGTCATGAAACATTTATTCTCATAAAAGTAGATGGAAAACTGTGCTTAGAGGGACTCATCCCTTATACATATTTATGTTTAGTAAAGTAATAAAATCAGCTCACCAAGTAAAGAGATTAGCAACAACATTTTATGCCTTCTTGAATTAGTAATGATGATAATGAACAATCAATTTCCATTTACCCTGTTCTGTTGCTTAAACTTTTTAATCTCTTTCTTGTAGTTTCAAGGAGATGCTGATAAATTTGTTTTGCTTTGGCATGGATGGCATGTAGACAAAGAGGCATTCTTCCTGGGTCCTGGCACTCCATCCAAATATTCAGTGCCTTTCTGATTTTATGCTTCAGAGTTGCTGACTCCCATTTCCTGGGCCCACTATGGGTCCCAGAGTCACAGGGCAATTTGGCAGCTTTAGCTGGAAGAGGCCTTCGGGGTAAACTTTATTTGATCTTCTCCCTGTAGTTCAATGGATAGTTCTCTTCTCCCACTCCCCAATATCTAGGTTTTGTTTGTTTGTTTCATTTTTTTGAGACAGAGTCTCACTCTGTCACCCAGGCTGGAGTGCAGTGGCCTGATCTCAGCTCACTGCAACCTCAGCCTCCTGGGTTCAAGCGATTCTTCTGCCTCAGCCTCCTGAGTAGCTGGGATTACAGGTGCCTGCCACCTCACCCAGCTAATTTTTTTTTTTTTTTTTTTTTGTATTTTTAGTAGAGACAGAGTTTCACCATATTGGCCAGTCTAGTTTCGAATTCCTGACCTCAAGTGATCCACCTACCTCGGCCTCCCAAAGTGCTAGGATTACAGGCGTGAGTCATAGTGCCCAGCCTCCAGTATCTAGGTTTATTACCTTATCTCTACTCATGAATATCCCACATCAACACACATCCAGCAAGACCACCCTGAGCTGGCTCTGTCAGCTCCTATTACTCATGTCTGATGACTCAACTGTTTCCCCTTATGAGACCCAGGGGACTTGAGCTTGCTTTTGAAAGAGTTAAGAACATGCCACTCCAAAATACGCTGCTCTTCCATATCGACTATTTTGAATTAAAGGCACTTATAAAACAGCAAGTGCAAGAAGATCACTCTGACCTTCATTCTGTTTCTGAAAAGCAGGGGAAAATTCCCCACATGAAAGATGTCTTCCCTATACCAAAAGGAAAGTAACACTTTTATTATCAAAGACAGGAAGTTGAAGCCAAAGGAAATCTAGACAAACAAACTTTGTTAAACTAACCCTTATCTCCCTCGTCACTTTTCTACCTAATTATCCTGGCCCAAGCCCCTTTCCCTTACCACATTTCACAACTTACTATTCTTTGTCCAATTCACCACACAAGTAGTTGACTCTAACTGCTTCTATAGGTCGTCATTTCCTTAGGAGGGCTCCCCTGTCACATAAAACTTACATTAAATACATTTCTATGCTTTTCTCCTGTTAATCTGTCTGATGTCAATTTAATTTTCAGGCCCTACTGAAAAAATTCTAAAAGGGAAGAGGTTTTACCTCTTCAACACTTTCTGTGGTCTCCCCCTGTCTCTTTCAAGGTCATGGTAATTAGACAGGTCTTGGGGACCACCTCTGTCACTCTCTCCTGAGGGAGGGGCCCCAGGAGCTTCTTTCAGCCTTAACTTGCTGTGGCTTGAATTAAGTGGATCCTGCTTCCCTGACCATCATCTACCCAGTGAAGGATAATGATAGATGCCAAGGCAAAAAGATGTGTTATGTGTTAGGCCCTCCTGGGGTTCCCTAAAAACTTCACTTTATTCACGCTCATGGACAATGCTGTGAGATAGGTGTTTTGTTGGTTGTTTTTGTTTTTTGTTTTCAGGGTCTTTTTTTGTTTGTTTTGAGACAGGGTCTTTCTCTGTCGCCCAGGTTGGAGTGCAGTGGCACGATCATGGCTCACTGCAGCCTCAATCTCCTGGGCTCAAGCAATCCTCCCAACTCAGTCTCCTAAGCAGCTGGGACCCCAAGCACACCACTACACCTGGCTAATTTTTTGATTCTTTATAGAAATTAGGATCTCACTATGTTAGCCAGGCTGGTCTCAAACTCCTGGGCTCAAGCAATCCTACTTCCTTGGCCTCTCAAAGTACTGGGATTACGGGCATGAGCCACCACGCCTGGTTAGATAGGTATTTTTAAATACCATTTTGCATCTAGTAAGTGGTAGACCTGAGATTTGAACCCAAATCTGTCTGATTTAAAAACTGTCTCATATAGTTTGAATGCATGTCCCCACCAAATCTCATGTTGAATTGTAATCTCCAATGTTGGAGGTGGGGCCTGGTGGGAGGTGTTTGGATCATGGGGGAATCCTTCATGAATAGCTTGGGGCATCCCCTTGGTGATCAGTGAACTCTGGCTCTGAGTTTGCTCTGAGATCTGGTCCTTTCAAAGTGTGTGGCACCTCCCCCTCCTACTCTCTCTCTTGCTCTCATTCCTGTTTTCATCATGTGACATACCTGCTCCCCCTTCACCTTCCGCCATGATTATACGCTTCCCGAACCCTCCCCAGAAGCTGAGCAGATACCAGAACCATGCTTCCTGTAAATCCTGCAGAATCGTGAGCCAATTAAGCCTCGTTTCTTTATAAATTACCCAGTCTCAGGCATTTCTTTTTTTCCTTTTTTTCTTTTTTTGACGGAGTCTCGCTCTGGCCCAGGCTGGAATCCAGTGGCGTGATCTCGGCTCACTGCAACCACTGCCTGCGGTTCAAGCGTGCCACCACGCCCGGCTAATTCTTTGTATTTTTAGTAGAGATGGGGTTTCAACCTGTTAGCCAGGATGGTCTCCATCTCCTGACCTGGTGATCCACCCACCTTGGCCTCCCAAAATGCTGGGATCACAGGCCCGAGCTACCGCTCCCGGCCCTAGTCTCAGGCATTTGTTTATAGCAATGCAAGAATGGCCTACTACATTGTCTTTTCTCTGAAAGAAGAAAGAAAAAGTGCTATGTACAAAAAAATGTGTGTAAGGCCGGGCGCGGTGGCTCACGCCTGTAATCCCAGCACTTTGGGAGGCTGAGGCGGGCGGATCACAAGGTCAGGAGTTCGAGACCATCCTGGCCAACATAGTGAAACCCCCAGTCTCTAATAAAAATACAAAAAAAAAAATAGCTGGGCGTGGTGGCGGGCACCAGTAGTCCCAGCTACTCGGGAGGCTGAGGCAGGAGAATGGCGGGAACCCGGGAGGTGGAGCTTTCAGTGAGCTGAGATCCTGCCACTGTACTCTAGCCTGGGTGACAAAGCAAGACTCCGTCTCAAAAAAAAGAAGAGAAAAAATGTGTGTAATAATCATAGCTACTGTTCGGAACCATATGTCAGGCACTGTGCTGAGTATTTTCATGCATCATCTCATTGCATTCTCATAATAGCCCTGTGATGAATGTCCTATTTCTTCCCCATTCAAAAGATAGAGAAATAGAAGCTCAGAATCTTGCCCAAAAGCCCAGTTGTAAGTAAGTGGGTAAGCCAGGCTCAGACCCAGTTCTAGGAAACACCAAAATCTGTACTTTTAACTTCTATACATGACTTCCCATGAAATCACGTGTGAGAAAAGCCCTTTGTAACCCGAAGAGTGTGCAACAAATGTAAGATTCAATCATAGCACTTCAAGGTCTGTAATTAATAGTTTGTGTATAATTTGAGTAATGTCTGTCTTCTCTACTAGACTAGTAAAATCTATAACTATTCTGCTGACTGTTGTGTGCCAGTATTTAGCACAGAGTAAATAACCAAAAATATCTGTTGAATAACTAAATGGATGCATGATCATGACTTTTGCCTAAGCCATAAGATTCTTAGCCTTACTAATGGATTGACTCTTTTATTCTCCATTTGACAAATGTTAATTGATTCTAAAAAACTTGTAGAAATAGTTGTATAACTTTGGCCTTGAACTTAACGGTAGAAGAGGTTAGAATAGAACTCAAAACTTCTCAGTGCTAATTATTTTTCTGGGTGAACAGTATCAATACAAATCAAACCTGACACAATTTAGGGTGTCTCAAAATAAGGAGCCTCTCTTCTTGTTAGGAGAATAATATCATATGATTAATGAAGTCCCTTTAACTTTTCACATTTTTTCTCTTAACATCATAACATCATAAAAGGCTCAAGCCAGAATGACCCTTTAGTGGTCATTTAATCTGACTTCCTCATATTAGAGGTAGGGAAACTGAAACCCAGAGAAGGAAGTGACTTGCCCATGCACACAGAGTTGTCAGTTACAGATCTGAGACTAGAACCCAGTTCTTCTGCACCCTTGTTTTGGGCTAATTAATTGCTTTCTTCAAGAAACGCTTATTGAGTATTCAGTCTGTGCCAGGCATCAGGTACACAGAAATGAGAATCTG